AAAAACAGACAGTGATGGGGCGGCATCATTGCATTATGCTGCACGACGTGGCCATGAGGTGGTTGTGCAGTGCTTGCTGGATGCCGGTGCTGACAAGGAGAAGGTGACCGCGACGGGCTTGACACCATTGCATTGTGCTGCTCAGCATGGGCATCATGCAGGTGCGCAGTTCCTGCTGGATGCTGGTGCTGACAAAGATAAGGCAACCATCCAGGGCTTCACACCATTGCATTTTGCTGCAAGAGAGGGTCATGAGGCAGTTGCGCAGTGCTTGTTGGATGCCGGTGCTGACAAAGAGAAGGCCACCATCCAGGGCTACACTCCATTGCTTTTTGCTGCAAGGGAGGGTCATGAGGCAGTTGCGCAGTGCTTGTTGGATGCCGGTGCTGACAAAGAGAAGGCAGACAAGGATAGCAACACGCCATTGCATCATGCCGCACGACGTGGCCATGAGGTGGTTGTGCAGCGCTTGCTGGATGCAGGGGCTGACAAAGAGAACAAGGCAACCGACCAGGGCTTTACACCATTGCATTATGCTGCATTCCAAGGCCATCAGGAAGTTGTGCAGAGCTTGCTGGATGCTGGGGCTGACAAAGAGACGAAGGCAACCAAGCAGGGCTTCACACCATTGCATTTTGCTGCAATGCAGGGTCATCAGGCAGGTGCGCAGTTCCTGTTGGATGCTGGTGCTGACAAAGATAAGGCAACCATCCAGGGCTTCACACCATTGCATTTTGCTGCAAGGGAGGGTCATGAGGCAGTTGCGCAGTGCTTGTTGGATGCTGGTGCTGACAAAGAGAAGGCAACCAGCGAGGGCGTGACTGTATTGAGTACTGCTGCACGGAACGGCCATCAGGCAGTTGTGCAGTGCTTGCTGAATTACAAGGGCTTTACACCATTACATGTTGCTGTACAGCAGGGAGACCTGTCGCGCGTGCAGTTCTTGCTGCAAGCCGGTGCTGACAGAGAGAAGAAGACGACCGACAGGGGCTTTGCACCATTGCATGTTGCTGCAGAGCAGGGCCATCAGGCAGTTGCACAATGCTTGCTGGATGCGGGTGCTGACAAGGAGAAGGCAAGCAACGAGGGCTTCACACCATTGAGTATTGCTGCACGGCATGGCCATCAGGCAGTTGTGCAGTGCCTGTTGGATGCCGGCGCTGACAAAGAAAAGGCAGGAAGCAAGGGCTTTGCAGCATTGCATGTTGCCTCACAGCAGGGCCATCGGGCAGTTGTGCATTGCTTGCTGGATGCCGGTGCTGACAAAGAGAAGGTGACAGACAGGGGCTTTACACCATTGCATGTTGCTGCAGAGCAGGGCCATCAAGCAGTTGCACAGTGCTTGTTGGAAGCTGGTGCTGACAAAGAGAAGGCGACCAACAAGGGCCTTACACCTTTGCATTATGCTGCACAACAGGGCCATACGGCAGTTGTGCAGTGCTTGTTGGATGCGGGTGCTGACAAAGAGAAGGCAACCAACAAGGGTCTTATACCAGTGCATATTGCTGGGCAGCAGGGCCACCAATCTGTTGTGCAGTGCTTGCGGCAAGGAGGTGCTGACTAAGAGAAGGCAGCCAATCAGGGCAGCACACTTTCTGCGGCACAGCTGGGCGATCAGGCTGTTGCCCAGTGCTTCTTGGAAGCCGGGTGCTCACATGATGGCTCACATGCCCAATTTCCTTCAGCGATTGCCACCTCCAAGCTGGCTCTCCTAAATTGTTCTCGCTCGCCGATTCGCCGATGCCAACTTAGACAAGTATTTGGCAGAGTCACTTCCTCAAAGATCCCCTTCCGCAGTCCGAGCAGCTCCTCGCCAGCATCTTTGCTCCAAACTGTCAGCCGCCCAGCGCCGAGGCGGATGCGCCCGAGCGTGCAGCACCGCCAAGGGAGGGCCACGGCGGAGGAGGTGGAGCTGGGCGATTGGGAAACCCCGGGATGAATCAACCCGACGGGTTTCCCAACAAAGAGAAGGCGGGAAGCGCGTTATTGCAGTTTGCCGAGAAAAGCACGCTTCTGAGCCACAAGAGTTGTGCACTATAATGGGTTGAGGATTTGAGTCCTGGAGTTCCATTCATAGTTCCAATTTAAATTCGCAACAAATGGGAAGTACTGGAGGAATATAAAATTTGAGCCCCCACTCCAGGAGATGTTTTCAATTGCATGTTAGAGGAGAATCTCGAGAAAGTTAGACTGCCCAGAGAAGACGCTAGTGATGCAGCCCTGGGATTTCTGAGTTTTTTGAAGAGATTGGGGACCAGGGCACCCTGAAAATGCGTGGTCTCCTTGTGGCTCTTCCAACCCTCTCTAATGAGGGTCCTATGGAGTACTTAAAAAAGTGGTGCTGCTAAGCTAAGGGTTGCAGAGTTCGGCATGCCTGTTTTCCTGCCCATGATCACGAAGCAATTGGAAGCATGTCTAGCCCCCCGAGGCAAGGCAGCTTGCATGCAAGATGCATTTGCACAAGCTGCCTCATGTCCTTCTCTCAAGGCCTGCCGGCCCTTCTCATGAGAGCGGCCTCTGCCTTCTTGAGCCTCCGCATGTCCTTGCCGATGGGCTCGTCCAATTCCCGCAAGATCCGCCTTCCAGCCACAGAGCCTGAGACCATTTCCTTCTGGCATGCGGCTCTTGGGTAAATTGGTCAGCAGGGATTCATATTCGATGGATTCGGGGTCACCAGCAAGCTGGTCGGAGGATCTTGCCACTCAGCTTCTTGCTCGCCACCTGGCTCACTAGAAACTTGGCCTTTGCCCGCAAGTGGCCGTCGCTTGTCTCTTGTTCAGGCCCACTCCGAGACTCTCTCTCTGAGATATGGAGGCTCCTTTGGCTGGAAACTGTGTGAGCATCACCTCAGGCACATTTGCAAGGGTCCTCCCAGAATCACCCGACTGCCTTTTGTTCTGGTTGGCCCGGTTCACTACCATGACCCAACGTTCCGAGCATTCTCTGTCCATTTCCTGAGCGGCATCAGCCCATGACCCTGTCGTCATTGCCCATCCGAAGGCATTCGTACTGTGGCCAGCGCTACCAGCTGAGGCTGCCGTGCCTTCCTCACCCTTCGTTTGGGATTCCTCCTTGGCAAGCGCCCGGCAGTCCTCCTTCTTGAGTCTTGCCCCACTTCCATCATGAGAGCACGAAATGCCCCCTTTTTCTTTGGATAACTTGCCCGTGACCTTGCCTTTGTCTTTGGGCTTGTCCTTGCCCTTTGATCTGCGTCCTTGCCCTTTGAATTTGTCCTTGCGCGATGCCAATCAACGTGGCCGTGCATGTCCAAGCCCGAAACCCGTTGCCAGTCTCCCCGGTCATCATGATCTGTAGGGTCCGCCACTGATTAACTTCTCGTTGGTGTGGCCACTTGTCTCAGCCTTTGAGAGCATCTCGTGAAAGCGATGCGGTGCGGACACCCTCGCCTCCGAGGTCTAGTGTGACCGGGCCGCAGAGCTCTTGCACCCCACTCGCTTGCGAGCCGAAGTTTCCCAAGGCTTGCGGGGAGCTAGTAGACGGCCCTGGGGAAGGCTCCGCCATTGGGATTTGTGTCCGATTTCGTCATATACTAGACATAGGATCCACCAGTATACCCACCCCCCTCGAAGCGGGGCTAGGGACGCCATTTGGGGGTGTTGCTAAACGAATCAAGGATTGACAAATTTGGGCTTGCAATTCGCTTCAGGGAATTCAGCAAATCTCAGATGTTTTGGATCACTTATGCGGAGTTCATCATGCTGTGCACTGTAGCCAAGCCAATCATTCTAATTAACCACCAGCCTTCGCTGGCACACTAGAGAAGGATACACCACACCTTCATTTTGGTTTCGGTCACTCAGAGGCTGGATTGCAATGAGCCGTACGAAGAGTAAAAAAGTTCTTTCACGCACAACAACCATTCACGCTTGTGCCAGCCCTGCGAGATGTCTTGGCAAATCTGTTTTTGTTTTGACCTCTTCAGTACCAAGCCGGTTTTGATGATACATCTATTGGTGTTGTCTTGGGTCAGTTTGGCTGAACACTTTCAGTTTGGCTCTAATCGTTCACCCATAGGAATCCATCTACTTTTTTAAAGGGACACCTAGGCGAACGCTATTCCGCTTGTGAACAAGCTGCAGGAGCTGCCGCTAAATTGCTTCTTTTGCCTCCCCCGATCAGGATGCTGCGGAGCGCGCTAAACGGCATCACCCCGACAGTGCGCTTGTGCGACGACAAGCGGAGCGGTGTGGGCGGTGTGGGCGGTGTGGTGAGGGAGATTGGCAGGTTTGAGCCATACATGTGCTAGCGTGGGATGAGAGGTGCATGAGATTTGTGGTTTGGTGCTTGGTAGTTTGGCCTCGACTTGTGCTGGGCATAAACAAGTAAGGCATGCGGCTGGGTCGGTGAGGAGTAGGCGTCGGGCTCCCTCTTTCTGCCCACGAGGCGGGCCTTCTATTGGCATTTGTGCCAGGATGAGCTGATCTCTTTTCTGCTCCGACCAAGTTGAGTGGGCTGAGAGCGACCAAAGAGTCGCAGCAACACGTGCAGTTGACAGGGTTGAGACGGATGCTGCAGCTGGGCCACTGGGCAAACCAATCCAGTTGCTTGGATGTCGTGTCGCCTTTGCTTCTTCCACATGGGTGTGTCTCAACTCGGGAATCTTCTTGTTGAGGAAACCAACAGGCGCGGATTCCCTAGTCTTGAGACACCACATGATTGGCTGACCTGACCTGCAGCATGTCCAAGCGTCGAGCCGGCATGGATCAAGCGACCCATCCGGTCAAACCGATGGTTTCAGTTAACGACCCGATCGGCCCAAAGATGGCCTCCAGTCATGAAGACAAAGGCGTGACGGCGGGCTTCTTCCGATCGACTTGTCCTTGTTCGCTCAAGGATCAATGCGGACATCCGGTGCAAAGACGTGTTGTTGACAAAGATGCAAAGCAACGCGCCCGATCCAAAGCCTGCGAGACATTTGATTTGGGAGGCCTGGGATGGTACTTTGGGGATCTATCTCCTCAACCCCCGGCAAATTCTCGGCTCGAAGCGAAGTTCCATCATACGATTTCGATCGAGCGCCCGGGAGCTGAGAGATTGCGCCGGTTGGGTTCCTAGGGGACTGCTGAAAGGCGAAGGCGGCAACCGAGGCACAGGTCACGTCGAAGCTCCGAAACTGAACCCTTGGCTGTTCCGTGCAATGTCTCACCGCATTTCCAGCTACCAGTGTGGTTTTCGGGAGCTGCTGGGCTGATTTGTATGAGGCTGTTCAAACTGGCTTCCTTTTGGTTTGCGATTGAATCCAAAAGCGACCCGCCTTTCCCGTTGGACTTTTTTGATGTAGAGCACCTGCTGCTGAATCATGTGGCTGTGAATCGCAGATGGCTTCCCACTCTTCTGTTTGTCGGGTGCGTCCTTTTTGAGGGTACGCGTTTTGGGGCTGTTCACAGGGAAACCAAGCAAAGAACCAGCTTTCTACTTTAAAACACGCCCAGATTGTGTGTCTCCTTTGCTTGTCAACCTACTTGGCGATAGCCATCGTGCCAATGTTTGTCACCATCATGGTTCCATCGACCTCACATCCGTTCTTATTGCCAACCAGTTTCCCTGCTTCTCCTTGGCCTTCCCTGTGTGGTCAGCCCTGTGAGAGATGAAACAGTTCCGTCGGACCTTTTTGGCCTTTTCTTCGGGCTGCCCACTGTTGGTCACAGCTAGGCATGGCACTCGGGGTGTTCACTGTGTTGACCCTTGCCATGCAATGCTTACAACCTGTTTCATTTACTCCAACCGAGGATCATCTTTCATATATAGCTATACAAGTATGCTTGTGCTTGCGCGGATTCCAGAGCAAATGATTCATGCTTCGGCCACTCGTTCCTGATTGCCCTGATCGGATTCTGCAGGCCCCCGTTTGCCATGATGCAGCTACCTCTTGAGAGCGAGCACTGGCCTCAGAAGCGCTGTTCGGCGCGGCCCGAAGGGCTGGCCCCGGGATTCCTTCAGCAAGCTGAGCGGAAGCTAGGATGCTCAGGTGATGCTTAGCTGTTGACACTGATGCCTTCCGACGTTGCACCCCTCACGAATAGTCGGCTGGTCGGCTGGTGCTCTGAACTGGACTAATGAAGCCACTCAAGTGGATCTTCCTAGTCCGCGTAGTGCCCTGAATCACATGTTTCATGGGCTATTCCCACTTCCCGCTGGCAGCGATTGACCCCGGAGCTTTGACTGCCAATCGACAGCAGAGCTTGTTTGCTGCGCCCAGATGTACAACTCCTGACTTCGTGACGGAGCTTTTGCAGGGGCCTTGGTGTAGACTTGGCATTGTTGCAGTTTTGCAGAGGTAGGACTGCGGGCTGGAGGGTTGAAGCATGCAGTGTGCCGGACAGTGAATCATGAATATTCATGTGTACACACCAACATGACAGCAGGAGTCAAAACAGCAGTAGCATTGACGATAAACATTCGGAGCATTGCAGGGCCTTTGCTTAGTCATCCGAGGGTCCGGGAATGGCTGTCACGGAGAGCATTTGTCCGGTCTGTCGAAGCTCAGGTTGAGTCAAGTTTGCACGTGGAAGCCTTTGGATTCAGAAAGCCCACTGTTCTGATTTAGCAGCTTGATCAAGTCAGGAGAGAAACCAAGTATAACGAAAAAGCAAAAAGCGACGTCACCGAGTCCACGTTATGACTTTGCGGCTTTCTGCCACATATTTTCAACTCTCAGTTCGATGAGCGAGCTGATCCCGGTCTGACCTTTGATAAACCTGCCTATTCCCGCAGTACACCTTTGGGAGACTCGTGCATGGAGGCCCACATTTCGTTGGCTCTTGAGCAAATCTTCGGGGGCCTAGGTCAAAGCCCTATCATGTGATCCCTGTGTCTCCTATCACGCTGTCCCAGGTCTGAGAATGACACCGTCCTCACCTTCGTATGCTTTGTTCTTGGCTGGTCTGGCTGGCCTGATTATAGGTAAATTCGCCGTACTTGGGGTTTGATGCTTGACAGGTGGGGAAGCACATCGTGGCAGGAGCCACTTGCAACATTACCACACCAGTTTTTGAAGATGCATCGCGACCAACTTTTGGTCACGTTCCCAACAGCAGGTTGTTTCCCAACATTGGCGATCCCTTCTTTTTGGCTGGTTGTTAAAAGGCAACCCACTGCTGAGACTTGCCAGCATTGAAGCAAGTTTTTGTTGCCTGGAGCGAAAGGCGACTGCCCAAGCTGTTTCTTTGGGGATTGTTCGAGCACATCTTCGGGTCCTTGTAAGCCCGGCTAAGGGAGGGTTCTGGAAAATCGCGCTGGCAACTTGGCTCCTTGGATTTTTGGATTTGCCATTATCTCTCTTTTTCAAGACAGTCGACAGTTGGCTGCGTGTCAAAACCAAGGACCCCTCCGAATGGTTTCCTGTTGGGCTGGGATTTGAATAGACGCTTTGTGCCATTTCAAGGGAGCACAAGGCCAAATTTCCGTTTGGAACTTGAATGTTCATGTCGGGGCGTGGGATCTATTTTGGTGTAGCCCTGCAGAGTCCTTTTTGCACAGATCTGTGAGAGAGAGAGCGAGAGCGAGAGAGAGAGAGAGAGAGAGGACAGAGAGCGAGAGAGAAAAAATGAAATAATTTTTTAAATAAAGAAAGAAAGAAAGAAAGAAAGAGAGAAAGAGAGAAAGAGAGAGAGAGAGAGGGGGAGAGAGACAGAGAGACTTCCATTTGCTTAAGAATGTTTATATTTGCCCCTGTTGGTTTTAAAGGGAGTCTATCACTAGAGGATAGATTGTTACTTTTTCCGGGGGACGTATTCGCAAATGGAGGGAGACAGAGAGAGAGAGAGAGAGAGAGAGAGACAGCGAGTGAGAGCTCCAGGCTCGTTTGTCGGGCTGGCCTTCCCACTCGTGTCAATGCAGCCGCCGGGCAGCCAAGTTGGCGAGTCGAGTGGTCGGTGAGTCGGTGAGGTGGCAGCTTGGCGGTTTGGCGATTTCGTGACGTGTTGAGAGTGTGGGCGGCCAGTTTGAGCCCAGGAAGTTGCAGGATCCACAACATGGCGACAGGTCCAGAGGTCCATCATGAGGGCACCAGCTTGCTCAGGGACTTTGAGTCAGCTTTTGAAGCTTGGATAGGTATATCAGTGGGTGCCGAGCGTTTGAGATATTTGATGTCTCGTGGGGGAGGCAATCGCTACCGGAATTCCTCTGTCGCGAAGTCAGCACGCACTGAGCTGCAAAAGTCTGTACACAGCAAGCCGCTGCCACGGAACCTATGTCTTACTTTTCTCATGGACCTTTGAGCGAGTATGTCCTTTGGTACACGTAGTTGCCAGTGCCCAGATGCTGTGAGTCAGCGGAACACAAAGCATGCCTAGCGCCAGCCAGATGTTAAACCAGGTTTGTTGAAGCGTGCAATGGACGCCCTGAGAATTGCAAGTAAACCACAAACCATGGCATACTGCATCAGTATGCTCTGTACTTGCAGTCAGGGAGCCACCATGCCGACTGGACCGACTTGAGGGGACTTGTTGCAATCGGGTGCTCCGGGCGGTGAGGTGTGCGTTGGGGTGTGGCACCGACTGGCCATTTTCACGCTTTGCAATCGGGGCTCAAGCCGGCAGATGGCCCCGGCACGAGGCCTGGGCTTCGAGGTTGTTTTCGAAGGGCAAGGATTACCCGAGCTCCTTGATGGCTCTTTCCATAGGAATTCCTTTTATGCGGTTTCTCAAGGGCTGGCATGGTCTCCCTGGACCTCCTGCTTGGGCATTTCCTTCGATTTTCCGTACTCAATGGTTGGTCAGCACTGTCAAACCAGGGCTGCAGCGATCAATTGGACATTCCTCATGTCTAGGTTGACCGGGCTTGTGGGCCATGCAGAATGCGGAGACATGGAGTAGCATGCGCTTCACATTGCGCCCTGTGAGCTGAATTGTTGAGCCTTGAAGGACCCTGCCTGAACATGTAGCTAGCAGCAGATGCTGCTGTACTATAACAAGAGCTTCTTCTGGCTACTCCTTGAGCGGCGTGGCAGTGTCTTTTTCAGATGGGACTCGTGGCACCTTGGGCGGCAACTGGCAAACTTTGGACATCCTGTCTTTTGTTTCCCCGAGCGTGGGCAAATCAGGCTCGGGGGCTCTGGTCTTCGGATCCTTAGCCTCTGCGAAACCATTGGATTTTGCTGATTCTCATTTGCACTTCGAAACAGAAGACGCAATCAGGCAGGAGTGACTGTAAATTCTAGCCTTGCGGAAACCTGTGGGCAGTTTCATCTGCAGCTTGGCCTTGGCGAATGCTCCAGTGGTGCACATGCTGAAACAACAAAGTAGGCTGTGACACCATCCATTGGGCTTTCTAAAAAATGTTCTGTCCAACATTTTAAAAGGCTTTCTGAGTTATGTAGAATCCCAATATCTGGGATGGGTGAGGAGGCGGGCGATTGTTGGTCAGATTGCACTTGGGGTAACCAGGCTCAACGTGGAGTAGTGACATTGAGCATGGCCAAACAAAGCCACGTCTCAGCTGCAGGGCTCGAGGAGGGGTTTCGTCCGAAAGGAACCATGAAGTTTTTGTGTTTCCTTCTCCTCATTGTCAAGCATTGCCACATGAGCTCACGTGTCACTCAAAGTCAGGGACCAGCTCAGACCAGGGTTGGGCACAACTCCAAGGAGGTTTCCTGGTAAAAGGGCGATTTTACGGTGAACACCTAGTACTTGGACCCCTGCTTCGGTTTGCATGCGCTCGAGGCTGGGGGGCCTGCTGATTGCCGGCCTGGGGGGCCTTGTGCAGTACCTCCGGTCAAGCGGCTGGGAGTACGCCCCGCAGATCGAGCACCACTATGGCTTCCAGGCCCGCGGCCCCGCGGTGGTTTTTTGTTTGGCCTCTGACGCCCAGAAAAACCTCAGCTTCATCGAATATTTTCTTCTTGGGGTAGGGGAACAAAGACGCGGCCAGCGCGAACTCTTTCTTTCTTCTTTTTTTTTCCGACGCCTCACGCCGGTGTTCTCCGATTGCGCGGCCGAGGCCCTGGGCGCAGGGGTTACCTTCGCCATCGTGTTCCGTACCCAGCTGGCGTGGACAAGGCGCCGCAGGGGAGGGGCCTGTTGACACATGGCGGCTTTTTTTGAGAGGGACTCACACGGAGTATCTGCCAAACCCCCCCTTGTCATTTCATCATTGTAAGAGCATCAAGCAGAAGGCAGACTTCTGCCGTGGAAGTCTGCTTTATCCCAAAGTACCAATCTGGGCAATTTCAGGTAGGCACTGGTCGATCCAAATCATGAATGGAGGCGACAGCTCTCCTGGTGATTTTGGATGTCTTCCTTTACCGGGAATTCGATATGATGGGCTTTGCTCTTCTTCCTTTCGCATAGAGCCCCAGGAGGGGAGGCAAAGGGGAAAGTGATTGCTTCGGATGCCCTATGATAGCCATCGAAAATACCTGCGCATAGCCACATGGAACCTGGCAAAAGTTCGCCCCTGCGAGAAATCGCGAGAAATGTTGGGGTTCCTTGCAAGTTACCATGGGTGGTTTCGGACATCTTTGTGAAGCTCGAATTGGCCATCTTGCATTCGGTTCACTTGAGCAGAGGTAGATATTTCAAGGTTTCCTCTTGCCCTAAGATCACGCGAAGTTTTTTTTCGGTTTTCTTTCTTTCTTTCTGCTTTGTCTGATTTGTGAGGTACTGGGAGGCGGTGACCCAGCTGCACTTCATGTACAGTAAGTGGGCCGACGCCTTCTCCCAGTTCCAGGCCTTTGCAGAGGTGACCCGAAAGAGCGCCGAGGAGCGGCCCAGCTCGGGCGCCCTTTTTGAGAGCGCGGAATGCAAGGCAAACGTAGGCCACTCACCCGTCAAGCAAGCCAACGTAGGGAAGAGTTCCAGGCGAAATTGCGAGGTGCAGCACCACATCAAAGGTGGCTTGCTGGGGACACGCATTCAACGACGGTCAGACAATTTCATGAACGAGACACTCACACAATGCTGAATGACATTTGGAATCATGCATGGGCAATCTTCCAGCGCCAGAGTCATACCGTCCTTGCAAAGCTCACATTGACATGAGGATACACCCAGATGATTAGATTGGCAAATTCCCGGCGTTGACTATCGAGATTTTGATGCGTAGCCAATCTCTCAGTGCTTTTGCATGAGAGCCGTTTCAAGAAGTCAGATCATGCCACCTCCTTCAATGTGGATGCGGCTTCTGTCATCTTGAAATCCCTTGATATTGCAGCCTCCGCTTCCCTTCAAGGGGTGCTCATGCCAGAGGGCTTTGAAGCAGCTCCGGCTGCAGAAGCTCAGCAGCGTTTTGTGTTTCTCGCGTGAAGCATCTCCGTCATTTGCTTGCGCTTGCTAGTGTTCCACGCACCAAGCAGCTCCCATAGCCCTTTGAACAAATGTGCAACAAGAGTCACCTTGAGTTGGCATGCACGTATCTTGTGCACATCTGCAAAAATAGCGTTTGCAGCCGCGTGTCTCTTTTTATTAGCCTTGAGCGATGCTGAATGGATGCAGCAGTGATTTACCTCAAACTACTGGGTTCGTAGTTGGATGTGGTTGGCCCTTCAGGAAATCCACCATAGGGCACCATGCAAGTGAGAGCTGACAGGAGAAGGGCGACGCTGCGAAGGCGATATTGGGCTGGGTCTCGGCCGAGCGTCCGGGTTACGCGTGATTGCCCTCTGGTTCGTTAAGTTGTGGGCGCTTGGGTGGCCCGTATGTCGTACGGAAATGTTTCTTTCGGCTGGCTATTGTGTGTATTCTGTATCCCCATCTTTGGGTCTGGAACGTGGGCGTGCAGACCCCTGTTTGGTGCATTCAATGCAGCATGTTGTTAGAGCAAGCATTTTTCGTTGCGTTTGACAGCTTCCAACTATCTACCATTGTGAGTTGGGGTTCTCCCGTGCCACCGAGACACGAATGAGATGCGTGAGAGTGAATTCCACGGGATGCACCCATTGGTGGGCGCCTGAATAGTCTGGGATGAGTTCCGGCGCAACAGAATTTACGCAGCAACACTTAACTTCAATATTGCTGCCGGATCAAAAGTTGACGTCGCTCTTGCGCTTCGAACTGCCGAGACGATTTCTCACCAGGCTGAGCGGATACGCCTGAAGCAGCGCAGGCTGAAGGCAGGATGTCGTGTGCTGACAACACAAATTTGCTGAGTGGCAGATTTCTGTCAAGATGGAAACGGTATTTGTCAGGTCCGAGGCTTGCACAGGAATTACTTACTTGTCATGGAGCAGAAGGGAAGGGCCCATGCAAGGAACGATGAAAGAGCCCACGCGCAGAGCCGAACGCGCCTTGACCGCTTGACTCGCCTTAGGTGAACTATGCCTTGCTCAGCACGGTAGCCGCAGATCGGCTCACCACCGGGGACAACCAGCGTATGGAGGAGGTAAAAGCCAAACGCGTACAAACACGTGCCACCATGCGCATCAACAAGGCGGGGCTGCGGGCCAGATGGTAGAATGTTCTTCTCGTGTCCCACTACCGATTACGGATTGGGACTCCCCCAGTTCGAATTTGTCTGGGCGCCATTTGAACAACTGCACAATTGAAGCTTTTGTCCCAATGCCACGGGTCCAGTGCTTTGACAAGCGCAAGCAGTATCTTAACTTGACTAGTTTCTAGATGGTTTGCCCTTGCAACCTATTGAAAGGTATTTCTCAACCATGGCTGGCCGTGCCGGACTAGGGTTCCACTTCGCCCAAGGTACACTTAACGCCAATATTTTGTCGGAAATCAACCACCATCAACCCACCCTATCGGTATTTGTGTCTAACTCGAGGGCTGTTTTCACCATGGCCCAGGAGGCGTCTGGATTCAACCTGCCGCAGATGATCGTCCGCAAGGACTACGACCGGCGGGACTCCAAGAGTGACGTCTACGCGGCTCGCACGCAGGGGATCTTCCAATGT